TACAAATAATTAGTAAGTAAGGTCAGTAATGTAAACACACATGTGACTGCAATATTAAAGAATAACGTTCTTAACAACAACGTTAAGAATGCAAGCAAAAAGAGTTATGACTCATATATATGTCACAAATTGGGCAAAGCGTTAGCGGCCACTTGCTTTGTAGAAACGATCATATTGCAGCTTGCACATGTGGGTCATTTTTGTGAAGACATTTGTAGTGTTGTATTTTCTCAAGACGATGAACTTTGTAGAGCAACTGTGAAACAATTGGTTTCACAATTGATATTTCTCAATATATGAGAAGTCAATATAAATTTAATTAGAGTAAAAGAAAAGCAATGAGACTTTACTACAAGAACATTTAGAAAATGCAAAACTACAAAATAATAAATTATGATTGGTCACAATATGAAAATTTTGGAAAAGTAACTTAAAATTGGGAGTGTCTTAGATTTAAGGAGAAATGTAAAATTTATTGTAAAAGCAGTTTTCGTGCACTGAAATAAACAGACTTGTTTTGAATCAAGAATCGGCAGCATTGCCTCGTTTTTTTTAACTTGTCTCATCAATAAAAAATAGGCCTTGAGGCCATCACCCTTTTAGCGTGGCTCGCTTAAAAGCTAAAAGTTAAAAATACTTAAAAAATAATAATATAAAAAAAAATAAACATAACAAGCTTTCGGAAAGGTGAAAATCATATGAGTCAAACTTTCTGAAACGGGCCACTAAAATGAAGTTTTAGAATTTCAAATATGTTTTGGCAGATATTCAAAGATCTATATGTGAAAATTAATGTCTTAAAATATTTTTTTGAAAATTTCAATTTTTCAAAAATTTATTCATAAATGAATTTTTGACCTTCTTTTTATCAATTTTATATATTCCTTGCTATATTTCCTTAAATATTCAATGAAAAATAACCAAATTTTAATGGTGTATTCAGAAAAAGTAGCAGAAACGAAAAAGATATTCATATTGAAAAAATTTTATTTTTTAATATTATTAAATAATAATAAATTTACCAATAAACAATTGACAATTTAACTGAAAAATTTTACGATCTTATTCTGTAAAGTATACACTGACAATTCGTGCAAAAATTTTTTAGTGCACTCTATCCCATAACAAAATTATAGTTTAAAAAACTATTTCGTATATTCGTACTGTAATCAGGTATGTAACTTGAGAATACAAATCGCTGCATCTTTTAGGCGCATCAATATTACATAGTTACATCCCGAGCTAATAAAAGGAAGGCAAAAAAGTACGAATGTTTAAACATTATCGTGGATACGCGAAACCACTAGCGACGTTCGAACGCAGCGCCCATAAACCTGGACCCGTTCGTCGTTGCATGCTTACGTTTTAAAAAGCATATAGGTATATTATTATTACATATGTTAATAATTCTTACGATTAATTCTTTATATTAATAATTATTGAAATCTCAGTGCCTAAATTTATTTTCGAAATCATGAGGCTCCTAAATTCTGAGAATCTTGAGTACAGACTAGAGGTGTGCATAAATGATTTGAAATGCTGTTTATAAAATAATAGTTGAACTAATATCACGGCGTATTAACACAAAATGACTAACATGGAACACACTGCTGCCGTTCACTTCACACCCAACTGTTTTACTGCACTCGCTGTGCTGCCCCGTTACTTTGCTCTCTTTAGTGTAAATCAGTATTTGCAGTAAACAAACAAATACTGTCATTGCAGGAATTATAGTTAGCAGCGACACTACAGTGTTTGTTTTGATGGCGGGCAAGCATTGATTTAACTTTTTTTTACTGTCAAGTGAATTTGATTCATTACTGCATTTCTGATATTGTACACCTCTAGTACGCGTCCGTTAAACAAACGAGAATCGCGTATATCAGTGTCACTGCCCACGGAAAAGAAGCGATGGCATTGGTGGCTGCGTTAAAAAATGCATACTGCGCTAGTCTACAGGACAAAACTATTCTTTCGACCCAATATTGTTCGACTGATTTTGATTTTGTACTTTAGCTGAATATAAAAAACATGAGAAGGTGTTGGCGAAACGTTTTCCTAGAGCCAAAACCATCAAGTGGACACACCAGTTTCATTACTACAAACCCTCAGCTTCAAATTGTTTAGAATGTAAGATTTTTTCAAGCCACTCAGAATATGTAATTGTAAAAATATAAAAAAAAGTCAACGCTGTAATTAAATAACAAAATTAGGAAACGTATTTAATTAAAAAATTTTCCATTCATAAAGTACCAATCATTTATAAGATACTTATGTTGATAAAAAGATAAGCATGCAACGATGAACGGGCCCAGGTTTATAGGCGGTGCGTTCCAACGTCGGTAGTGGTTTCGCGTATCCACGGTAATGTTTAAACATTCGTACTTTTTTATGGGATAGAGTGCACTAAAATATTTTTGCACGAATGGTTAGTGTATACTTTACATATCAAATAAAACACCTCCTTGAGGTAAAATTTTCGAGTGACGAAAGCTGAACTAGAAACACAAAATTTATGATATCAATTTCGTGATGAAAATTATACGCATTTTTTAACTGCCTTTGAAACGAACGGAAAATCCTTTTTATTCATACGAATCGTTGCAAAAGTTCTGTTTATTATTTTGTGTTTCTATCACTAAACGGAATTTCGCAATGTAACGAATAAATAAAAAAATAATCGGTAGCTACCTGATAAACTCCGTCAATTACCGACCGACTACTTGAAGTGTATTTCATCAATTACTTTCACAAAACAATGTCCTAAGCGGTAGTCATCATCGGCTCTGTCTGCACTACCGGGAGTTACTAAAGTAGTCACTTGCGTAATTTATGGGCGCCCTCTGTTGTAGTTTTTCCCTATCCTGCTTACGACTGGTTCGACTCTGCACTACCATGTGCACTACCACGGGTTAATAGAGTAGCTACTTACCTAGGAGTCGGTGCAGTAGCTGTTCAAACGTACCGATTGACCCCAGCAGTTCTGGAGGGGCTGTCTCGCTTTGATTTCGGAATGCTTACACATTACACATATTCTCTTGCTCTTTATTTGCTTGTGTTACATTGCCAACCTTTGAAATTTTATGACGAATGGAGTGAAGTTTCACTTTGTCGTTGCCGTAAAGTGAGGAACAATTTATCTGCCCAGTTAGTAAAGGCAATATCTAGTAGAATATCTCATCATTTTCCATGGCAAGAAAAAAATATTGCACATGATTTAAAAGCAGATTTTGAAAAAAGATTTGCCGATTTGAAGTTATTTAAATCTACGTTTGCATACTTCATAAAACCTTTTTTATGTAACATAATTGAGGATGAATTTGTAATATCCGAAAAACTCCTTTCTAAGAAAATCGAAGAAAATTTGGAGTTTTTGGAATTAAAAGAAGATAAGGCACAGGAAATGCAACATAAAGCTTTGCCATTGCTTGGATTCCGGCAACAATTACCAGATTTAAAATATCCGCTGGTGAAAACAGCTGCGTGACGCACATTAGCTCTGATCCAATACATTTCGTGAAAAATCCTGTAAAACTGTCAAACAGCAAAATTACTCTCTGAAGTGAGAGTAAACAGTGAGTAAAAACAAAAAGTACGGGAACAAAAAATCCATCTTTCCTGTTAAAACGTCAACCAGTGATTGCTTGACACTTTTCATGATTTTACCAGAAGAAAAAGTTCGGGTAAAATCTTGCAACTTCATTCTCTACACAACTCTCCAAAAGTCGCTCTCATTTACAGAATTTTGGAGGATTTTGGAGTACGGGAACATTTTTCCTGCAACTTCCTGCAAGTTCGTGTAAAATCCTGTAAGTTCATGGAGTACTGGATCAGAGCTATTTTAAATTTTTTGTTACAACGTATAACTGTGAGTCTTTGTATTCTACAGTGAAATTCGTAAAGTCAGAATACCGTTCACGTCAGTTGCATTCGCGCACCTTATAATTATTGAAAGTTATAAAAACTATAAGCTTTTTGTGTTCGTATACCCAAAAAACTTGCAAAGTAGGGGAAATCGAGAGAGCAAAATGACATTTAATTTTGAGGGAAAGCCGCTAGTTTCTGCTGGAATAATTTTTGCCAACAGCAATTTGCCAACAAGGAAACAGCTGATCAAAAACAGCTGGTTGAAATTTACGCAAATCCCTAAATTGAATTTGTTGGTTTGGAAGTTAAAATAGTAAAGTGCCACTAATTAAACTTGTAAGAAGTAAGTAGTTATTCGTTTAGTCAGTGAACTGTTTCAGGATAAGACTTCGGGATTTGTTTTATTACGTTTTCAATTTTATAATTTTGAATGTAAACAAAATTTATATCAGCTGTTCGTCTAACTTGCAAGTTTCTGCAAATTTTCTGTTCGCGTACTATTTTGGATATTTATTCCTGTGAGAGAACAGATGACATTTCGCCGGAATTTCGGTGTTGGACATTTTTTACTGGAGATTTTAAACGAACGTACCTATTGACTAACCAACATTTAACAGAACTGTTACAAACGGCTTTAACTGACGTAAAACCAGATTCAGAAAATTTGGCCAAAGGGATCTTTTGAAGTTGCTTTAAAATCAATCTTACGTACATTAGAATAATAGTAAAATTAATGTTTTTCGTTTCTAATAATAATTTTATTTAAAAATAAAATTTTTGTTTTTGTTGTATTTTTTTGTGACTCTTTGTAGCTTTTAGAATTTACATGTGGCTCTTTTCGGCCTCGGCCTTGCCCACCCCTGGTATATACATACTTACATCTAGAATTTAGTTGGAACAACACTGTAGTTCAAACACTGTTTGACTGAGTTGTTCTTTTAGTTACAGTTTTATGCCTTATATCGGTTTACCTCTAGGTTCCTTTTTAAAACCGCCCACATACGTATCTATTTTATGAAAAATTTTTGGTATTATCCTTTCTTAAAATTGCGACACATTTACTAGGCTCGACTTCAAAATTCATTTAGTATTCATCACATTAAACATTTGACTATATTTTCTTTTCCCTCCAGTACAACCAGTCGGGCGAAGGCAGTCAATGTAATCAAGCCATTATGCTCATCACCGAGAGTACATCTGAAACCCATAGCGACATAATCAAGCAATATAATTGGCCTCATATGCCCGTACGAATTTTTACATATCTGATCGGTTCCGATTCGAGTAGTCGCAGCAACTTGCATGAAATGGCCTGCTCCAACAAAGGATTCTTTGTGCAAATCAATGATATGGAGGATGCTCGCAAGAAAGTTATCGATTATGCACTAGTTATGGCACGGCCCATGATTATGTATCAGGCCGATCATCCAGTACATTGGAGTCCAGTTTTCGTCGCCGGCAAGACAGGTGGTTTGGCACGTGACTCCGACTACCAGCGACGGCTGGTGACGACAGTTTCAACTCCGGTCTTCGATAGACGAAACCATTCGGTGCGTGTGGCTAATTTACTCGGTGTTGTAGGCACCGATGTGCCCATCGAGGAGATACGAAAAATGATACCGCAACATAAATTGGGGCCGAATGGATATTCGTTTATCGTTGATAACAATGGACGTGTACTGTATCATCCAGATTTGCGTCCTATGAGTGATGGTAATCAATATATTGATCAGTTGCGGCCGCGGTACACGTCGGTCGACATAACGGAGTTGGAACTGCCGGAAACCGAAGTGGGCAATGAGCATGAAATTGTCGAAATGAATAAGAATCTGCTGTATGATGTAAGTAGAGAGAGAAAACGCTGAACTCATTTTAATAAGCGGTGAGATTTAAAACGACTTTTATACGTCTACAGATGCGCAATGACATGCTTATGCCCAAAGAAGGTGAAACCGAATTCACTGTATTCAACCACTTTGATGGTATGAAACGTGTAACGGCGCGTACGCAAAGGTAAAGGTTATTTACCAAATCTATCTACTTTAGATCACCAAGACAAATTAGACTAATGTTCAATCTACACATTGCAGGTATTTTTATGGACCTATTGAAGACACGCCATTCACTTTAGCTGTTGTACTCCCTGAAAAATATGGAAGCCATGAATTAGTCTCCCAACAAGAAATACGGCACTCCCGCCGAAATGGTAAAGGAGTTCGATATCATAAAAATCGTGGCAATAATATTCATATATCTTCATCTTTTCGCACAGTGACCGAATACTTCAAAGGAGATAATTGGCGCGTACACCCCGATTGGGTGTATTGTGAGTACAACAGTGTTAGTGATTTAGAGAAAGAGCGTGAAAGCTCGGGCGAATATCTGTCAGCCTCTCGGGAACAAGAATTAAGTTTTGGCTCACCCGAAGAGCAGGTGTTACATTTCTTGGGTCGTGCAGGTCGGCCAGGCTGGAAGTGGATGTCGGTAAGCAAGTTGAATAATAAGGCCATTTGTTCGAAGAAAGCGCAACGAACCTCTGAAACTCAATAAAAAACATTTCATTATTAAACACACCAAACTTTTGTTTTTAACCACCAAATTTCTTTTTCTCTGCAGGTGCGCCCAAAACCACCGCAACCACACCACGCCATGCATGGTGCTACACCTGTCGGCCATTTTGCCCAACATCTAAATAATGTTCAAGGATCTCGCAAAGCTGAACCATACTTTTGCGATCGAACCTTAGTACAGAGTTTGGTGCGTGATGCTATGGTAACCGATGGTCTGGACCGAAATTCAACTGTAACTTCAACTGGCAAAGAAGATAAACAGTATGTGTCCGGGGAACATGCTGTGCGGGAGCAAGAATTCTCGCGCGTTAACATTGTTATTTTAATATCTTTTTTTCATTTTAGTCTGCACAATGCAAACAAGAGATAACAATAATGGTGGCAATAAGAGCAAACACATTTCTCTTAATTATAGTTGGTCGTGAACACTTTTTGAATACCACTTATAATAATATTATATTATATTATAATATTCACTACTCGCAAATTCCTATTAGCTTTGAAAATACCGCTAAGAAAATAATGAGCTCATGCACATTCTTCTCATGGGCTTTAATTTAAACCTCCTACTCTGTCATAATATTTTAGTAATTTTAATACCAATTCTCGCTCAACCTCTTACCGAAGAATATTCAATACAGCACTAACATTAAATTGGCAAGTTGAGCTAAAAGCGGGGAAGTAGCATACATAGATAATGTTTTCCTCTACATTGCACAGAGGGCCAGATAGAGAGAGTTTAAAATGCCAGAATCATTTATCAGTGAGACGAAGTTTCAACTGTATGTATTCTATGGCATAGAAATTAACGTAAAGTATGTCAAAAGACTACTAAATTTATAATACATCAAATAAGCGTGGTAGAACCGAAAATTCAGTATTACGTAAATGCTGCGACTCTTATAAAAAACGAGATGTCTGTAAACGCGCAAATAAATTTGGCATCCATTTTATTAAAACAGTTGTCAGTTATTAAGTAAAGACGGATTCTAAAGTTTTTAGGGTCGCTGATCACGAATGTACCATCAGAATTTTAATATTCAAAATGGCGGAAGATTTTTTAAGAATCTGAAAATTAAACTTTTGAGCCTATAATGTAAACTTCGCAGTGATCTTTTTCAAATTAAATGGATTTATATTTTTCTGGCTCCACACTGAGTACGCCATTTTGAATATAGCATCCGATTCGTAATCATCAATCTCAAAAATTTAGAATTTTAACTCCAAAAATATCCACGAAACAAATTTCAACTAATTTTAACAAATTAAAATAAACTGACCGCCATATTCGATCCGCAATTTTGAATTTTTTAAATTTAATATCAGGTTCGTAATCAGCGACCCCGAAAACGCCAGCGAGCAAGTTTTAAGCCAATCCGATAAGATTTTTAATTTAGCTAGTTTTGACTCTTCCTGGCCCACAGTGCATTGCCGCAACAGAGGTCATTCTACTCCAGACCCATTCGGTAGGCGTGTGTTCCCATCAACAATGGCCTTTAATAACCCTGATTGCATGTCGAAGCAGTGACCGCTTCAGCCAGACGTGTTGTAAGCATTGTAAATCATCCTCTATTCGGATGGTCGTTAAGGTTATTTTCCAGCCTGAATTCGCAAGATTATTACAGAATACCCGCGTACAGAGCGGCACTGATGACCCGCTATTCATCTCACATGCTGTAAGTTGCCTTATAAATGTGTATGTATATACATATTTGTGGCTTGGCTTCTGTATTATGTATGTGCATATGTGTGGGACCTACCTACTGGGGATGCCAATCCCGGGAGCCCGGTGTTTTTTAGGTCCAGTAAAAGTTTAATTATTGCATTGATAGTCAGAACTTTTTTATGAATTTTGAAGTATGATTTTTGGAAAATGCCGTCCTGACTGCAATTAACAAATAGCTTGAAACTGTTCTTTTAAATTGCAACCTTTTTTAGATTTAAATGAATGTACTCACAACGTCTCTAATGTAAACGAAACAGAGAGTTTTAAGAAAAAGTTCCATAATTTTTTAAATCAATCTACTCAAATCGAAAAAGTTTTAATTTATTCGACGTGCTGGTAAAAGAAGTTCAAATATTTGGTAGATGAGGAGATAGGAGTCACAAACTTCAAATGGCTTTATAGTTGAGCCTAAAGATGTTTTTCATCAGCAGGTTTTGTATGTAACAAGTTCAGGCCAAGATTAGAAGACTCCCCTTTAAATACTTTGCTGCTCTTACGTACACATTTCAAGTGCAATAATAACAACACCTGCACAAAAAATGGGGTGTGTGCTTCTAACAAGACCAACCTACCGACATGTACTTCGACTCTGTGAATGGGAATCTGATGTCCGTTTGACTCGTTCACCCTCAAAATTTCGAGTTAATTGCGAAAGAAATGGCAAAAAATCGTCATTTGTGTATGGAGTAGAATAAACATATTTAAAGAATTTGTTTTTGTATATATTTTTTATTAATCATTACTTTCAAAAGTACCTGGTATTTACATTGTTATTTGTGATGTATGCGTTCCTCAATCACACGGTTTTTTTCAATACAATTTAAAAAATATATTTCTTTTAGATTTGTCTGATTTAATAAATATGTAAATTTTACAATCAATTTATCGTAAATTTTAAATGCTTTCAGATATTGAATTTTTACCCATATTCATAAAAATTATGACTCAATGTGAATCCCGAGATTACTGAATAAATATCCTGAAATCCCGGGATCACAATTTTCCTAATATTTTGGCATCCCTAGTATCTACCTGTCACCACATTTAGGGTATGTTTGCACTCCATGACTGGCTATCAGAGAAGATAGCTACTGCATGCAGATGGATAGAAGAATCGGTCAGCTATCATGCAGCCAGTCTATCCTTTTCGCATCTTTATACCCATCAGATGCCAACGGGTATCCAGAGGTAATGATGTACATAGGTTCTGGGTTCCGTGGAGAACACTCCCAGCCGCCAAACGCCTGCTAAATATACATATATAATATATATATAATATATATATAATATATATAATATATACGGATTCGTTTCCAGCACTTTTTACAATAAAATATATGCTTCAAAATGATTCCTGAATAAATTTGGTGTCGAATGTTTGGCCCACGATGATCATAGTGCAAACGTACTCAGATTTTTTTAAATCCTGTATCATGAAGATGTGTAGAAGCACCATACCTATAAAGACTCTCTATACATAATCCCAGTTCTCTAATAGTCAAGGCACCCAGTGAAGCAAAAAGGATTTATCAGTGCCAACTAACAATCAAGGTCTTCGTAGGATATGACTTGATCATCCCAGTAATGACAGAGACTTAATTTCACTGCTGTAAATTTACTACTGTACTAAAACATTTTACCTCGACGGCTTTCCAAAAAACCAACGGGCTGCAAGCAATTCTCAGGAGGATCGATGACTTGTATATCCACGACGTGAGACCAGCGCGTTAACCCCAACTCTTACCTGATATTGTGTTTTTATCTCGGCTCTATGCTGGAAGAAAGAGAAAAGGGAGGATAGCTGAAGTTTTGTATTTGTATTTTAACTTTTAAATGAGAGTAATGCAGTCTAAAAGCTTAAACAGTAGGCAGCGTTGATCCGGATTAACTCGGACTTAATCTGGATCAACTGCAGTTAATTCCCGAGTTGATCCGGATCAACGCTGCTGTCTGTTTATGCTTTTAAACAGCCTACACCAAGTGCACAGATTTATGTCCGTGAAATCATACAAAGTACATATTTTCAAGCACATAGGGCCGGGGTGTCCAGGCAACATTCCAGGTGTTTCTCTACTCAGGTACAGGCTAAGAAGTACCTTGTAGTAAGACTCAGTGGATGGCCTCGCAGTGCTTCTAGAAGTAAGGCTCATTGGATGGCCTCGCAGTGCTACTAGAAGTATTAAATCTACTCTTATTGCTGGTAACAAGAAATCAATAAGTTTGCAAACATGTGGCCCTGCCTACGTGTCCACACCCTTTCTACCTGCCGTTACATGCACTGATCATGTGATTATTTGATTTCCTGTAGAGGTGTTGGTCAGTACGTCACTAGTGAGGCGTCTGAGCGAACTCCCTTTTCTACAATAAGCTTCGCGTAGGTAGTCTATATATATAAAACAATAGCCGTTTTCGTTGCTCGGAGTTAACTCAGAAACTACTGCATAGATTTCAGTCAAATTTTCAGAGGTTATACCTTGCATATATGGTCCTATTATAGGCTACCAGAAAACTCGCTAGGTGGCGCTGGGGTCGAGTTATTTATAAAAGTCATATTTATGAACCGATTTCGTTCAAATTCAAAACGTGTGCTACCTGTATGATGAAATATTGGTTTCCTAAAAATGAACCCGCTATATTTTATAAAATCTGATTGAAATTCAGTGGTTTTGCAGAAAAGGGACCTAATGGATTGCGCTGCAGCCGAAATATATAGAAACCTACACGGGGTTTGATCTGCTTTGGCCCTATATTCATCTTAGACCAATTTACTTTTTATAGGGCTAAATGGAGGATTCGTTTAAGTATGCATGTAAAGACCGCAACATTGTGTAAGCGCACCTTTGTCTGATGCCCTCATACACCCTTAACCCTCTAGTAGGCCAATTTTTTTATGAGTTGAAAAAATCAGGAATGGGTGATTTTAGCACGACAAATCCAAAAATGATGTCCATTTCGATCTGTGACCGTAACTTTTTTCTACAAGGGAGAAAAACCAAGACCGTCTGGAGACCGGCTCGCCGATATACTTTGACATGTTCTCAGCTTTCTCTTACACAATGTTAACCTACGAACCGGCAATCCCGTCTGCAGACGGTCAAAAATGCAAACTGGGTTTTTATGTGTCGGCAATCCGGTCTGTAGACGGTCTGTGTTCGAAAGCAATTTTCTCCATTTCGAATAGTGATATAATTATAAAACCTATATTAAAATACGGTGCTTTTAACTACGAAATCCACCGAAATTTTGTATATCAAAAAATTTTTCAAAAGAAAAAAATTCTTTAATTACGAAATTACTAAATAGCAAGAAATAATTAATTTTAACCGTGTCTTTCACAATCTGTAATTCAACTGCCGATTAAAATAAAACGGATTGACATAACGGATTCAAATTAACTTCGCCGTAAGGGTACGATTTTTGTCTAAAGATCGTGCCTTACGAATATAGAAAAAAATTATTATAGGTGCACTAAAAAGGTGTTTAGTTAACGACCGTCTGGAGGCGGTTCAGCCTACTAGAGGGTTAATGCGATCTTGCATTTACCTCTGATTGAGGAAATTGCTCGGGGCGGCCGTTTTTGTAGCAGTAGGGCTCAAAGAAACCAGTTTATAAATATTAAGACGAATTGTAAAAGTGGCGAATCGCCAAGGAAAGATTCGACCACATCCGTCCATGAAGGAATGCGGTAGGTATATCAATGGCTTCATTTGAACGATATTTAAGAGATCACGCGACTCATTTAGTCAATGTACGGGAAAACTTTTCATCCTGTGGGGGG